ATGGTGTCTGTTTATTAGCTTCATAAGAAGCACACCAAGTACTTGATTCATCTGCTTTTCCTGTGACAAGTCGGACAATCCCAGGGCGGCTGACAGCGAAGGAAAGGATATTTCTTACAGCCTTGCAAGTTAGGTAGACTCGACTGGGTCAGAATAGACTGAACTCTGATTGAAGCAGTCCTGTCGTACATACGTTTTCACTCAGAGACCCAGGTCTCAGGAAAGCACTCCGTAGGATGTGCTGTGCTTGTGTCTGAGGGCACAATGGCAAGAGGAAGTCAGAAGAAGGAAGTGTGTACTGCTTCTCACAGCCTCTCCTTGGATTACCGCACTGACCTTTCCAGGCTGTTCTCCAGGTCAAAGAAAGTCACAAGGTATTGACCCCGAATCAGTGGTCAAACAATTATACTTCATTCACAGGAACACTGGACTAAAGGCTGACATGAGTCATGAGGAGCACGTAATGCCATCTTTTATAATATATTACTTGATAGAAGACATTATACCTTCAAAACCCCCCAAGTCATACTCAGATTATTAGATCTTCTCAGGTACAGATGAGAGTCCTATAATTTTGCACTTTGAGAGAGAAAGGGGACTTTGAGGACTTTATAATCAATTGCTTCATTTTACAAATAAGTGTGGCCTAAAACCATTGAGTGACTGTTACCCATGATTAGATTCTGTTAGTCGCAAAGATGGGTGTGAAGCCCAGTTTACCATTCTCTACAATTAGTGCATTACTTTTTCCCACTGGTTAATTAAATATTCTAGACTAGATGTTCTCTGAGAAGTTTAAAAAAAAAGTGAAAATTTCCAGTACACAGTAGCAGGAGTTCATTGAAGCTCTTTTCTCAGCCTGGAAAAATGTAATCATTCAAATTCAGTTCCACCAAAATTAATTGACCATTTAAAGTGAGTTAGCCAGAAAAACAAGATTGGAAAAGTACAATTTGTATTGCCATGAATATCAGGTTATATGAAATAAAATTCACTAAAAATAGTTCACTCCAACATTAAGTACCAAAGTACCTGAGATAAATATATAAAAAACAGAGGGTCTGTTAATTATTTACTGATATTTGAAGAGTTGGGTTTTTTGGAGGGTCCATTTAGCCAAAATGCTCAATAAAATCACACTGCTCATTCTCGTCTCAGAAAATAAGTAACCATGTAAACACAAACAACATTTGCAGATACAGTTAAACTGATTATATATGAAGAAATAATTCTCTCTAAATCTTTTTATATCTCTTTTAACAATAAAAATCATTTTCAAAGAACTTTGGTGTTCCTATAGAAGAATAATTATACCATTGTAAGCTTAATTTTTCATATTCTTGACATACATAATTACAAATACTTTTTCAATCTTTTAAAAAGTAATTCTCTAAGTCACCTGGTAAGCAAGCAGTATACCCCAGAAAATAGCATGCATTAGATTGTCTACTGGAATAGTTCTCTGGGTCAGATCCCTGTAGCAGGCTTTCTTGGATTGCCAGACCCCAAATCATGCCACAGGAAACTTATTAATTATGAATGCTCAGCCTTAGCTTAGGCTTGTTTCTAGCTAGCTTTCTTTTTTAACTTAAATTAACCCATTTTTATTCATCTATGTGCTGCCCCAAGGCTCATTTACCTCATCTACATACTGTCCATCCTGCTTTCCTGCTTCCTCTGTATCTGGGTGACTGTCCCCTGGTTGGCTGTCCCCAGGCTGGCTGGCTGGCTTCCCTAGTCTCTCTGCCAGCCAGTCCTGCCTGTCTCTCCTCTGCCTAGCTATTGGCCATTCAACTTGCTATTAGACCAATCAGGTGCCTTAGGCAGGCAGGGTAAAACAGCAACACATCTTTACATAGTGAAACACGTGCAGCAAAAGCAACATATTTTTACATAGTTAAACAAATGCAGCATCAACAAATGCAACACATCTTCACATAGTTAAACAAATATTCTACTTCACAACAGGTACCTTTAGAAGAGAAATATATAGATACAGGAATTAGCATGTATAGAAGATAGATAGGATATGTAGAAGTAAGTATCAGATTTGTTTATAACCAATGCCTGGATGATAAAGGAAATCCAGAAAGCTAGATAATACTTTCTTTCTTATTTTTACATAACATTTTATTAAATCTTTGAGCATTTCCTATCATATATTCCAATTTTAATCATCTCCAGTTCCACCCCCTAACTCCTCTTAGATCCACTCTCCTATCTCTCCACCAACCCAACTCACATCCTCTTTTCTTTTTTTTTAAATAATTTATTTGTTTGTTTTATTTTAAGCATATTGGTATTTTTGCCTGCGTGCTTGTCTGTGTGAGAGTGTCAGATCTTGGAGTTACAGACAGTTGTAAACTGCCATGTAGGCGCTGGGAATCAAACCCAGGTCCTCTGGAAAAGCAGTCAGTGCTCTTAACCACTGAGCCATCTCTCCAGCCCCCTGTCTTTTCTTTTTTAAAGAGTCCATATGCTGTCCACACACTTATGGGTGTGGAGCCATCCATGGGAGCATGGTCTACATACTTGGTAGTCAACCTATTCTCCCTACCACAGAAGCCATCTGTGAAGAACTTCACAGTCAAGGATGGGGAATCCTGGGCCCTCCCTGGTCCATGCTTGAATGTTGACTTGCATGGACCTGGTCAGGTAAGAACACCTGTTGTGAGTTCACGAATGCAGTGGTACTGTCATGTCCAGAAGTCACCGTTCCACTCCAGTCCATCGTGACTCTGGCTCTTAGTCTCTTTCTGTGCTTTCTCGGTCATTGAGCTTGAGTGGGCTGAGGGATGGAGTGGGTGGTAAGTGTGTGGCTTAGCCCTCCATTAACACATATTCTCTGCGCATTGATTGGCTGTGAGTTTCTGCATTAACCACCATCCGTTGAACAAAGAAACTTTTCTAATGAGGTCTGAGAGTTGCACTAATGTATGGATAAGGAATACAAGTTCAGAGGACACTTTGTTATATTGCCCATTTAGCAAAATAATTATAGTAGGTTCACCCCTGGGACCCATGAAATCCCAACCATGGGTTCTGGGGTAGATTTACCAAGAAAAAACATATGATAGTACCAGGCATGTGTTTCTTCCTCTGGAGCAAGTCTTCAATCCAATCAGAAAGCAGCTTATGACCCTGATAGTGTTCATGCCCCTAATGCACTTATGGGCTATCATTATTGTGTTTACAGGTTTCACAGATGGGTAAGACTATTAATGACTTTCCGCATCTAGTGCTATGAAAGTTAACCAGCAGAGAAGGATCTTCTTGGTCAGTGTCAACTTGATTTTTCTACATCCACGTCCTGTGACCAAAGTGTATGGTGCCGTCAGTAATAGGGACTTACCATCAAGTTTTAGTGGGTACCATGAGCAGTATCAATAGCCAGTATTGTGTGGAGCTTTTTTTAAGACATCATGGCCAGCAACTCAAGAGAAGGTATCCCACATCCGGCACTGGGCTTTTTATTTCACAACTTATAGCTTCTAGAAAGAGCCTTGTCCCCTGTGTAGGGTAACTCCAATTAAACTACTTTATGTGAATATAAATATACACATATACACTAAGGAAGCTTGTAGAATGGGTTTCCACACAGCCTTTCAAACATCCTTAGTGTTCATTACCCCTCCCCCACCCCTCCTCTGCCTTACCCTCCATACCTCTCCCAACTTAAGCCTCTCTCTCAAGATAATTGGTATTTAATTGGTAGCCTCTAAAACAAACCAGGAGCTGAGATCACCAAAGCAACTTCAAAGAATGCATGGATAAGATATATTTAGAAAACTAAAAATAGCAGCCTCTCAGGGGTGGAGGGGTGGAGAGATGGCTCAGTGGTTAAGCGCACTTACTACCTTTCCTAAAGACCAGAGTTTGGTTCCCAGAACCACATTTAGCTCCAGCTTCAGGGAATCAGTGAACATCCTCATCTGGCTCTCACAAGTATTTGTATGGGCATATGCATAGTAAATTTAATACATTATAATATCTTACAGACAGATAGACAGATGAGAGAGAGAGAGAGAGAGAGAGAGAGAGAGAGAGAGAGAGAGAGAGAGAGAGAGAGAGAGAGAGAGAGAGATTTTGTTTAAAGTAAAACAAAAACAATGTCTTCATTTCATGAATATCCTAATGTTTTTGCCTGGCTCATGTCCCTCTGTACCTCATACCTTTCAGATCTTAGTTTTAGTTTGGGGATGGGCTTTTCCTGCATCCCCAAATCTGCACTAATGGCCGCACATAGCACCCTGAACATGATTTACAATAGCACTTCCATACCAGGATTGCCTGCCCACTTATCTAGTACCTCATATGTCCATTTAGAAGCCATGCCAGTTCTCAAACACGTTTAGAAGGTACTTCAACTCTGACTATGCAGTGTTCATGACAACTGGCCAAATTCCTGGCTATAGTTGGGTATTCCACATATTCGTTGATTAATTAAAATGTAATGGAATAGACTCTCTCTCTTTCTCTCTCTCTGTGTCTTTTTCCTCCTTTCCTCTCTCTATCCCTCCTTTCTTCCTTACCATGTAAGTGTGTGTGTGTGTGTGTGTGTGTGTGTGTGTGTGTGTGTGCATATATGGTAGGAATTAGGAATTCCTCTGTAAGATACAGTATTAATTTTACTATATTAAAAACTGCTGTAATCCCTGGATATAATCCCAATTCTTGGGAAGCTGAAATGGGACAATCATGAGTTTGAGTCCAGCATGAACTACATAGCATGAGCCTGTCTCAAAATCAAAAATAAAATTGCTGTACAAGTAGAATTTAGAAACCCACTGAACTTAAGAGAAGTCAAAGACCCTACTAAGTATGAACACATAATGAATTAGACATATCACTTAAATTGTGGTGATAGGACAGTGTATACATGTATGGATTTTAATAGACTTTCAGAACTCTAACTCAATATGAAAAAGTAATAGTTTGTAAAGTATATATACGTCAAAGGAAAAATAAATTATCAGACAAATAATATTGAGAATACTTACCAGTTTCAGAGAGTACAACAAATTCTGTTAGATCGGGAGCTAAGTTTGAAGTATCATTTTGGTTTCCACATGGTGAAAGACTTCTAATACGATAGAGTAGAGCACGAGGAAGAGACAAACTACACAAAGCTGTAACTGTGTGAATGCAGAGGAGCATCTGAAAATGAAAAGGCAGCTGCACTCAGCCTTTTAGCAAATAGTTACTCATTTAACAACAAGATAGCTCTCGGGAGCCGAAAGCAGACCTGTCAGTAGAAAACTGGTCAAGGAAAATGGCAATCTAAAAAATATATTCAATTAGAAAAACACGCTCCATTTGAGTAGCAAATAAAATATGAAAGCTAACACAACAATGCAGCTTCATATGTCTGGGGAAACATTAAGTTGTAGCATCTAGTACCTCGTGTTGTTAGGCTAAGAAAAGCATTCTGCCAAGTACCATGATTAGGAAATGAATTCCTATTTTCTGAAGTATGTCAGGGCCTTGAGAACATCAAAATTCTTCGAAATGCTTGCTCTTATTTAGAAAGTCCACACGTAGGGATTCATCCTGTCAATTGATTTCCAAGTTGCCTTAGACACTGAGGGGTTTTATGCTGTGTCGTGTTTATTTATCTAATGTGGTGTTGGAGACCAAGGCCCCTTGCATTCTCGGCAAGCACTCTACCACTGTGCCAAACCCAACTCTCCATAAAATTTGCTAAATAAACATTTAATTCCAATTGTGGGTGAAAGACTGTGTTGGGCATTAGGGATGAAAGAACAAAGAAGCATTGAGGTGCTTGCCTCTCAGGGGGGCACACAGAAGCAGATGGTGGCTAATATTTAACAACTTGAGTTTTAAGGTATTTTCTAAGTGGTTTTCCTATAGTATTTCCTATAGTAAAGTATTTTTTAATCTTCCTTTGTAGTATCCAGAGGATGGAGGTAGTATCATGATTTCTTTGGGTTGGTGGTTTTTCCCAAGGTCCCTTAGCCCACTGCATAATAATATCACCCATAGTACAGGGATAGAGCTCAGGCACAGTCCATAATTTAAAGTGATAGAAAGTTGTCCAATAACAGTAAAACGTTGAGAAAGTAAAAAACTGCATTTAAATGAATGTTATCATCATAAAAATAAGCTTCTACAAAATGTTAATGCCATGGAAAATATAATGTTACATGAATACATAAACTGCATACAAATCTCAGTGTATATAAACAAACCAATTTTATTATTGAAATATTGTAAATAAATATGTTGATACACATACTTATGCATACATTATTATATTATATTATATTATATATATTATATATAAATGCATATTTATATATTATATATAAATGAATATATATATTATATTCATTTAACACTTGCATCCCTTACTAGATGCCAAGTTAATAAGGTGGTTTGTAGTTGTCTTATCATTGGACATTTACTACTATAGCCCTTAGACCTAGGAGACGTTAGAGAAGACTGTTTTTAAATAAGTTTTAATTGGGTTGGGCGGTGGTGGCACATACCTTTAATCCCAGCACTCAGGAGGCAGAGCCAGGTGGATCTTTGTGAGTTTGAAGCCAGCCTGGGCTACAGAGTGAGTTCCAGGAAAGGTGCAAAGCTACACAGAGAAACCCTGTCTCGAAAAACTAAAATTAATTAATTAATTAATTAATTAATTAAGTTTTGATTGAGTGAATGAGTGTGATGGGGGAAAGTATAACATAATAGTCACCCCTATTCTGTAGTTTCAATCTCAGTGATCCAAAAATATGAAATGCAAGTTTCTATAAAACTACAAATTCCAAGTTTTAAATTGTGTCTCATACTGAGCAATGTCATCCCACTCCAGTCCTGCTCAGGATGTGAATCATCCTTTGTCTACTGTATCCATGCTGCCCACCTGTGAGTCACTCAATAACCATTCTGAGTTATTGGCTCTCATAGGTTAGCTGTGCATCTGTTCAACTAACCTCATGTAACAGCCAGAGCTAGCTCACAATGCCTGTATCACTGGCTGTATTTCATCTCATCAGATCACAGTGTCATTATACCATGTCCCATTATTGCAAGAAAGAAGCGAGTACAATGTAATAAAACACTTTCGAGAGAAATACCACTTTCTCATGCATTACAGTAGAGTCTTATGCTGTGTACAGTGCATTACCATAGGCTGCCATTAACAACATTCTGTTTTAGTACAAGTTATTGTTAATATTTTCACTCTGAACTTTATAATCGTTGGTATATATAGGAAAAACATTGATATGGGGATTGAGATAATCTGTAGTTTCAGGTATCTACCAGAGATATTAAGTATAACATGAATCTTAAAAGGTCTTATGATAAAAAAAAACCCAGAACTAGATATTGGGGTGAAAGCTGAAAGATCAGAGAAGCAGAACAGCCAGCCACTAGCTTACCTCTACGAAATCCTCAGCCTCAAGAGAGTGAGTTCCTGTTTCCTCATGCCTTATATACCTTTCTGTGTCCTGCCATATAACTTCCTGGGATTAAAGGCGTGTGTCACCACTGCCTGGCTCTGTTTCTCTCATGTAGCCTTTTGTGGCCTTGAACTCACAGAGATCCTGACAGATCTATGCCTTCTGAGTGATAGAATTAAGGGTGTGTGCCACACTGCCTGACCTCTATGTCTAATTTAGTGGCTGTCTCTGTCTTCTGAACCCCAGGTAAGCTTTTTGGGGGTACACAATATATCACCACAGTTAAGACCTTCTGCAGATAATAAGGACTAATATACATCAAAATACTAGCTGTAGCAAAACTCTAGCAACAACCAGCATTAACTTTCTCTAAACCCTGACATTGTGACTTGTTTTCTTTGTTATAATTTTTCAGTATTTGCAAAATTCTCTACAGTAAACATATATAGATTTTAATTAGCTCGTATTTTTAAAGAATGAAGCAGGTTCTAAAAGGAACGTATGTTTAAACCGAATTAGCAACCCTCCTCTCTAAATAGCAGAAGCATCAATCTGCTGGAAGATAGGAAATTGGACCAGATGATATTCCAAGGTTCTTGTTATATATGTGTTACCTGGCACACCAGTTATCAATTTATAGTCTCTCGGCTGCAAATTTATACCCTGTTGCGTGCTCTGCATATATGGAGATGAGCCCTTTAAGATTTCCCTTTGCCAGGCTGAATAATGTTAGGTGTTGTCAGTTGGAGGCAAGGAAGGGTTTTCCTTCCTGGCTCTCCTCTCACTTCCCTCAGCGGGAACAGTTACTGGACCATCCTGTAGCCAGCAGCCTCCAGTTTTCCCAGCAACCGCCTTGGGAAGCTTCATGTGGAGAAACTCCAGCAACATACCTCCCTATAAATAGTTCTCCCTGGCACTGTGGAGAGTAGATCTTCAGCAAGTTTTAGAAGGCACAGCCTCAGCAACCTTGATGCCTTCATTTCCATGCATCATGGCTGCATCCTCAGCCTATAATATTCTACTTCAGACCCACTCAGGTGGGGAACATCTTCCTTGGAAATCTATCTCCGTCTTAGCATAGTGGCTGCTTCTCATATCTGCTATTGCTACTTTTAAAGAATTCCCTTTGGTTCTTACTGGTCAGTCCCTCCATCTTCTAATCACCTGTGATAGTTAACAATTCTTTTGGTGTTGGGGAGGGCAAATAGGTCTTACTATGTAGCTTTGATTGGCCTAGAACTCACTATGGAGACCAAGCTAGCCTTGAACTCATGGGAAATCCTTCCTCCTCTGCCTTCCAAAGTGCTGACATTACAGGTGTGTGTTATCTCTATACAGGGAATATTTCCTGTTCAAATGACAGTATTGTTTCTGTGAGTGGCTTATGCCTCAATGTACCTGGACTTTATGAACCTCAATGATTGTGTTATGATTTTTATTCTTTTGGCAAGAAAACATGAAAGACAAAACTACAGTGATGTGAGGCGTCTGCTTGTCACATAGGTCAAGAGCCATAATTATTCAAATATGAAAAGGAGATACAGTCTCTTAAAGCATATGAAATTCCAAATAAATGAGCAGGTACATGCTGTAAGCTGGGTAAATATCTCTTAAGCAGGAATGGAGGAAAGGTGAGGTATTAAGAAAAATACTCCCCCTGCAATGGCAAATAGCATGAAAGCAGAGATATTAGCAAACCAGAAGTGGGGGAGGGGCAGAAGACAAAAAACGTGAATGTAAATGAGAAATGAAATCTGAGTCCCTACACAGAGGCTACCAAATGGATAACGAAGCCAGAAGAAATCAGCTCCTTGTTTTGCAGGGCAGTAGTGCTTGTCTAATTCTGAATATAGTTTCCTCAAGTTAGCATAACTCACCTTTTCATTAAAGGACAATTCAAAAGTCACAGAAATGACATATACTAAATCTAAACCTTTCTTAAGGAATAGCTTTGCCAAAAGCACGAAATTAATGCAAATCTGAAGTAATTGCTTAAGTGTTTTACAGGGAGAAATTTGCATTAAAACTAAGGAAATAATTCTAGCAATATCCCAACCTGCATTTACCAGTCATGAAGCCTGAAACTCACTTACCTTACTTAACAGGAATCATTGTGACAGTTCAGTGTTTTGTTGGCTCATGCCTCAAACTACCTGGGTTGAAAATGAAAGCTCAAAGAAATGGCTGTTTTCAAAGATTTTGTGCTAAAACTAATGCAAATTGTATGTATACATTATTTAGCATATTATATTGCACAGAGCAAGCACTCAATAAGTATTCACTGTCATATAGGTAGTTATTAATGGTAATATAACGAAGGTCAATTTGACCTTTAATAACATCACACATATTTTTTTCATTGAAAATGTCCTTGAACTTTCTGCTAGGAAGAAGCTACTGGTCTAGTTGTGGAAGGCGCAAGCATTGCACCTTCCTGATTCTCTACCCAAAGACTGTTTGAATTGCATACATACTCTACTTGATATGAAATGTCAACAAAACAGGATTGTTTTTCTGTCAATTGTCTCATCCCCTGGATTTCCCATTTCATACAACCTAAACCCCTTGTCTAACCTCATTTATAGAAATATTGTGGATTCGTGGCTTAGTAGTCTAGGACTCAAGATCTTTTCAGTATTTTGTGAGTTAGCTTTTTATCCCAATGCTGTGATAATAATGATAAGCCTTTCCTTTTGGATATTCATCCTAATTATAGCTAAATACTTAGTG